TTTTACAAGCTGGCCACGCCCACCCAGTCACATGGCTGGCAAGCCACTCCCACCCAGTCACATGGCTGGCAAGCCACTCCCACCCAGTCACATGGCCGGCAAGCCACTCCCATGAAACAGGCCACATCTACAGAAGAGGTTGTAAAAATTTTTGAAACCCACCATTGATTTTAATGAAATGTATAAATCAACCAACCAACCAAATAAATAAATACAGACATAAATCAGAGACTAAACCAATCTGAAATATAAAAAATGTCAATGATAATCATTTGCATTTCAACATTTTTCACTCTGACAGATCTTTGGCTGCTGGGTTTGGATCCTCGTAGCAGCTACCACGGTGTATTTCCCTTTGCTGCAAGGATGGGTCATGTACGTCTCGGTCAGCTCCTTTGTCATCTCCTTTCTGCTCCTCCTGAGTTACTTGTTTGGCTTCCATAAAAAGGTTGAATCCTGGAGAATTCTGGTAAGGTGGCAACAACTCCGGTAGCTTAAAAAGATTTGAAGTGGGTAAATACTCTCAGATCACGAATGGGCTGCTTACTAGAATGACTTTGGTCTGTACTTGATATGCAATTCTGCATAATAATGAATATAGCCTGAAGAATTCCACATTTCCTTCTTGTTTTTTAACACTGTACGTATCTGCTTCTCTTTTCTTTTAGGATAGTCTTTACCATGGAGCCACAGGCATTTTTTACCTGAGCGCTGCTGTGTTGCAGGCAAATGCAACAATCCGTTCAGAGAGTGAAGTGGCAGCAGATTTTATCCCTCGCTATTATCAGCTCAATGTTGCAGCCACGGTAAGAACCTCACATCACCTGAGTAACTACCTGTTCCGTTTGAAAGCTCACACTTCAGTTCTTGCTGGTGACATTTTACTGCTGGAACCAGAATGAAAATAGTAGGGCAGCCCCTGCTAGGATCATCATTTCAAAAAGTGTTCTTTTACCCTCTCAGATACTTCATCTGTTTCCTATCGTAAAACTCTTTCACTTAAATACATGCTTTGCTGTTTTTATGAAGAAAGTACTAAGTCTTAAGTCCAGCCACAGTAAGGAAGTTCTTAATAGACACAACTTAACCCATAGTCTATAGAGATTCTCAGTCATCCAGGTCATGGTTTTCCCAAAGGTGCTTTTTCCAGGAGGCAACTGGATTTCCTTGGTGTTTTTTTTTTTGAAGACGTTTCGCTTCACATCAAAGACGGTTCTTCAGCTCTCCTAGGATAGTGGAATTCTTCCATTCCCCAGTATCCTGTCAAACTGAAGAAGCTTCTTGGATGAGAAGTGAAACGTCTTCAAAGAAAAAGCAAGGAAGTCCAGTTGCCTCCTGAAAAAAACACCTTTGGGACAACTCAACTCATAGGTCGCAAGCTAGATCATCTTTGTTCTGAATTGTTGTTTGCATTAAATCAGTGCTTAATGAACCTGGATAAATTACACAATACTGGGTAAAAAGTGGTTTTTCTTTGGAAAACAACATACAAATCCACAACAGGGACATTTAAATTGAGTTAAAGATTGCCATGTGTACCAAAAAATATTTGTAAATCTCCCAAAGTATTCCTATTAAGATGAAAGTTGATGAAATTACCAATGCAAATTTGTTGAAATGACAAAGGCTAAACTTAATGATATTATTTTTATAATTTATATCTCTTTCTCCTTCCTTCCTTCCTTCCTTCCTTCCTTCCTTCCTTCCTTCCTTCCT